CCACACCTTTGTTGGAGCCCATGAATACGCATGGCTACGCAGCGCCTTTTGTTGCTCAAGAGAGAAAAAGCGTGACCACTTAGAGTCTCACTGTTTAACTGCGTAACCTCAGGCCTAGCGGCTTTCAGCCAGAAAGGTAACGTGAAAGATGCCTGAAAGGAGATTCCTGAAAGGTGCCTGTATCTTTAGGAGATCCTTCATTGCTGGTGCCGGCCAGCCGAAGGCCTTCTGCAACAGCTGTCCGTCAGCTGTGATCGGGTTTCCCCTTTTTAGAATCCTCTGAGGCGTGACGCCTGTGAATGCTGAAGTGCTTTCACACACAAACCTTTCCTGGCGTGGGAAAAGTCAGAGTGCAGCAGCCTACATGGTGCCATGTGGAAATCAGGCTGCAAAGCCAAAGATTGTAACTTTAGCATGTTGTCTGCAAGCGGTGTAAACACGCCGTTTACTTGTAGATCTTTGCTCCCTCCCAGCCCGCCCTGTGGATTTGGTTCCGTCAGGGTTCGGTTGTGACGAGGCCATGCATGCAAAACATCTTGTGGCGCAGACATGTTCGTTCGGAATCTGGCAACTTTCACATCGATTTTTGTTTGGGCGCCGTTCTCAGTGGCTGGGGCCGTTCACATGCATCTTCAGCTTTACAGTACAGGCCATGCGAATTCGGGTAGGTTGCTTAGACCGTTCAACACGTGGAGTGAGCACATAATTTGTGCGGTCATCAGGCCAAAGTACGCACACAGAACATTCTTGTAATTGGCCTATATCTGTAAGTATCTAGACACTACACCTAGTGTATAGCAGCCAGCTAGGGGAGCTTCCTTCAAACCAGCGTTGAGCTCTGACGCCCTACACCCTCACCGGAGACTACTTGCGGGTTCCATGCCAGTCTCGGGCAGGCATCCTCGGGGTTTCAGCACGAAGCCCTGAACCAGCCCTATGCCCAAAGACGTGCATCAGAAGGCAGCAGCAACGAGGCTCGAGTGTAGGGGCCCTTAATACTCAAGGATAAGTGTATCAGTATATCGGAATGCGGAGGTAATCGTTGGAATAAAGACCTGGTTCGCGAAGGCTCCAAGTTCTTGATCGGTGCCTTCCTGGGACACGGACACTAGGTGAGCCTAAGTAATTCGAGATATTTTTCCACCCCCAGATTTCCTGATTATCACTTACAGTGTGCTATGCCCCACACCCTACTCGAACTACGAGTGATGATCTAAGCCCTGCATTACCCATCATAAGGAATATGCCATAATTCCCATAGTTTGGCCCATAGGGTAATGCAGGAGTTGCACCATCAACAGTATTAAGGTCCCCTAAACCCGAAAACCCAAACCCTAAA